CATTCAAAGATTTACTGCCATTTCTTGTAGCGTATGTGAAGCTCCATTGTGCTGTCACTTTGCTGCTACTCTGTAATCATCATATTGCAGCTCTCACGTCTTTCCATTTGCTGCTACTTTGGCAGCTTGAACACCACAACTCTAATGTTCTCTTATTTGGGGCTATAGGTTAGCAGTTGTTCGGAGTCTTTCGACACAATCTTGTGCAGAGGCCATTTAAGAAACATATCCTTGTGAAAGTTGTAATCTTTATTGGTTCATCATCTAGTTGCGAATAAAAGTTGAAAGTCTTTACATTTTTCCAAATAAGATTTGACAAGCAATATTGTTGGATTGATATAAAAAGATGTTACTTTTCCTGCATCTAGTGAAATTTTAAAGTACTGTTTGTCAAGCCGACATTAAATATGTGGAAATCATTGTTAATCATGTGATTTTGATGTTAATACTTTTTCTGTTAAAAGAATTCTAGTTGCTAATTCAAATGCTGAATCTTTGTCGCTGATTGTTGTGGAGTTCTGGAAGTGTCATTTAGACCATCTTTGTTGCTGACATATCATGCATGCACATATAAAAATATTAGTAGTGTACAAAATTAGACCAACATGAACCTTTCAGATGGAGTTGTTGGCTGAAAGATTTGAAAAATGAACTGGAGAAGATTCAAGAAGGTGTATATTAATTGTTAGAAGAGAATAACAAACAAACTAAAGGTAATAAGAGGTTGTGATAATGAAGGGACTAAAGATGTGAAGGTAGATAAATTACTTTTCTTGCTGACTGAAAAATTTACCACCAGGGATAGATGATGGAACTTCTCTTAGCCTGCTATTAATATAACGTGAGTGCATATCAGAGTTACAGAGATCGGCACTGTGTGCAAGCTATAGATAAAAAATTAGAGCAGATATGGGGTTGGCTAGAATTGTGGTGTGCTTCTTGCAAGAAACAAGTAACAAGGTTCTTTTAGTTTTGATACTGGTTTTGATGTTGTAAGAATTTTTAATTGAAGAACCAACCAGTGATGGATGGTTGAGGAAAAAAGATAAACAGTAAAATAATTGTAAGTCGCTTTCCATCCTGTGGAATGGAATGGTTACCTCTCAACTTCCAACTCCAACCACCTGGGTGTGGGAATATCTAGGTTAGTAATATTTGATGTGGGAGTAAGGAGTGATGTATTGGGTTATTATTAATTGAAGAAATATAGATCTTAATACCAGTTATGGAGAGTTTAAAAAAATAGAAATATTATAAAAATCGTAAATTGCTATATCACCTACTATTAATTGACAGAAAAAGTAATTAGAAGAAAAAAGGAAAATCAAACTTAAGTTGAAATTGATTATTACCATTTTAAAAGTTCAGGGATTTGGTTTGTCTATACCACATACAGCTTGTCCCGCTCATCAGATGGTTGCTTGCTTACTGTGCTGCAACACTTCATTTTGTTCTTCATCATCACTTGACTAAATCAAATCAACAATGGTTGGTGCTTTCTTCCCACTGTTTCTGTGTTTCATGTTCGGTAAACTTGCTTCTTGCCTTCTTGCCTTCTTGCCAACACTCTCAATGCCAGGCTGATGCTGTTTTTCCTGGTACGAATGTCAATTTGGTTTTCAGGATAGGAACTACGAAACCACCGTGGCAATAACTGAGGAAGAGAATTTTTAGGATAACTCTGGTTTACCTCCTGTGAAGGTTGATTCCTCTGTGTGTCCTCATCTTCAGTTTCAGCAGCACGGTACAGGTGTCATCAAGCACCTGCTTAGTAACGGGCGATTTAGATTTTTTGCTGCTTTCTTACTGGGAATGATTCACCAACAATCAACAAGAATATAACTAATGTAATCATCTTGAATCATATTTCCAAATCAGATTTGAGGTTCAAAATTCAGTTTCTTGTAGAGTTAAAAGTGGGAAAACAAGGTTCATCTCCATTAATAAACAACTAATGACAAACATTCTCAGATGAGTCGCTACAGGTTCAGTCAGTTAATTTTCAAGCTCAAGGAAATAAGAAAAATGGATGGTAATCTGGTTAACAACAACTGAACCACCACACCATTACAATAAGTATATACTGAATCTCCAAACAAGTTGTTCAAATATAACACCATAAGCTACACAGAAGAAAATATCATAAGTTGCCTAGTCTGAACAAGCTCCTAATAGAAACATCATAGTAGAAACATTATTAAAACAGGACATGAAATTGAGAGAGCAGAAATGACAGAAAGGTGAAACTAATGATTAGGCTTCACAATGGCCATACAGAGATGCAGCTTCCTATCATTTTTCCAACTTTTCTCCTAAGCACAGCTTCAAATAATTAAACACCCAACCTGAGAATGCCAAAGGATTGAAAGTGCTCTTTGAACTCCTCGTTTGACAAGTTATCCCACCATGCTTGTTCCCCTTTGATCATCTTTAACCCTGCAGCATTTTCTCTGTTGAAAGGAAGTCTTTTCAGCTTTCCACACTGGTATATCTGTAGCTCCTTTAACTTGGGCCATGCCAATGACTCATCTGCACATATAGTTTCTAACTTTTTCATGTCAACTAATTCCAAGACCTCAAGATTTGGCATTGCTCCACTGCCACTAGACTCCTGAATCAATTGTTTAATTTCATCACAGTTCTCAATTGTCAATCTTGTGAGTTTTGGCAGTTGTTGAATTAGGCCATTTGAGGATATCTCTGTCAACATAGGGCAACCTTTCACTGCTATTGTTTGCAATTCTGATAGACTTCCTTGTGACAATGGCCCCTCAAAAATTGTTTTCAAATGTAGCAGATTCCTTAAATGTAATTGTTCCAAAGATGGAAGGATGTTTGTGCCTCCTGCATTATTTCCACCAACAATGGTTACCATGTTGCTACATCGTTCAACCAAGCACCCAACAACTCCATTGAGGCGTGGTGTTTGCATGAAGTCTGTGAAGCATGAAATGTTGTTGTGGCCAATCAATTCCAATGCATCTGTCTCAGGAAACATATTAGAAATGGAGGAGCCAATATGATGTCCATCATACTCATATCTCAAATATCTATCTATTGGATAACTGAAATGGTCAAGAATTTCAAGAGGATGACAGTTTTGGCAACCAATAAAAGACCAAAATGAGGCTAGTTGTTGGCGACTCTGCCATTCTGGCCTGCTTTTCATCAAAGTCCAAAGGACCTCTGGTTTTGGAAAACATATCTTGAGAGAAGTTAACCTCTTCAAGGAAGCAACATGCTTGATAACATTTGTAGCCTCAATGCGCCATTGATCATAAGAGATCACATCAATTACTAGTTCCTCCAATTTGAAAAGCCATGAAATCACATTGTAATCTGTCTCCATTCCTTCATAGCCATTCATCATGGTTGGTTTATAGTATGAAACCCGTAAACACCTTAGTTGAACCAAGTTTCCAATAGAAGGTGGTATGAAGATTACCTTGCAGCCGCGAATATCAAGCACTTCAAGAAGACTAAGTTGTCTCATTTGGAGAGGCAGGCGTGTTAGACTGGTACAATCATTTAAAAAAAGTGCTTTAAGTCCTGTCATTTTTTCAAAGGACTGTGGCAGGGACATTATTCCAGTTTTGCACAAGTTGAGAACTAGAAGCTTCTGCATTTTTTCAAAAAATGATGGAGGAATTGCTCTCAAGTCAGGATTCCTTTGTAGAAGTAGTGACAACAACTTGTTGCATCTTGGAAAATTTGGCAAGTCCTCTAGTTTTGCATCTATCATAAAGATCCTTGTTGCTTGTTCCCAATCACTCACCCTTTGAGGAATAGGTGAAGTTTCAGTTTGATCTCCAATTAGAAATTTATTGTCAAGGTCTTCTGAGGAAATATGAAGTGCAACTTGTCGCACCACATTGTTCACTTGGACATGTTCCATCCTTTTACCTGTCTGCAATAGGGACACATTTGTTAGATACCGCACTATGACATACCCTTTATCACATGCAGCACGGAAGCTCCTTCTGTCATCAACATTGCCAAGGAACCTTTCAGCTGCCCAGCACATCACCAAATAATCAGTGGATATATTTGTGTCTGCCGGATGTAGTGCACCATAAAGGAAGCATCTCTTTTTGTTCTCATCTTTCAAGTCATCATAACAACACTTCAAGAACGCATGTATTTGTGTTAAACGTGGGATCTCAACTTCAGAACCATTTCTGAGCTCTTCCAGACCATTCCTCCATTCAGCAACAGTGTCTTTAAATTTAAAGTAACTGGCCACTGTCTTTATCACAAGGGGGAGTCCACCACACTCCTTGGCAACCCGCTGAGCAACTGATTTAATGCCAGGAATTTTAATTTTTTGATCAGTTACTATCTGTTTAAACATCTCCCAAGCCTCGCGTTGAGTTAATTTTTCAACCTCTATGTCCCTAACAAATTCCATCTTAGAGCAAACTCTGCGATCTTCAGTTGTTAATACCAGTTTGCTACCATTTTCGTTATCTGGGACTCCAATACTATTCAGCTGATCATGATCAATGATACCCTTGACATCATCTAGGAGGAGCAAGTATTTTCTATCATTCAACTCTTCTGATATGCTTCTAGCAACTTCATGGGCAGTTTCAGTGCCTCGCAAATTCAATTTAAGCCGACTTGCTATCTCCATCTGCAGCTTCTCTATTGTCCTCTCCTCTGATACTGTTATCCAAATTACCATTTGAAACATCTTTGCAACCTCTTCATGATTATTCAAGTTCTGCATTATTGTGGTCTTCCCAACACCCAGTGGCCCCCAAATCACAATAGTCTTCACTTCTTCACAACTGAGCAACAATAGTATCTCCTCCAAATGTCCTCGAAGTGTGGCAGTTGCTTTGATGTCTGGTACTGATCCCAGCTTTATAACAGGTTCTGGAGGTTTATCAATCAAAAAACCTCTAGGAAATTTCCCCTCTTCTATAAGCTTCTGGACTCTTTGCAAAATATTTATCACCTTTTCACAAAACTTTGATCCAATAGCACACTCTATCAATACATTCCTTTGTTGTTCACATTCAGCTTGTAATGTTTCCAGCTCTGGAAGAATTTTGGTCACACTACCAAGCCACTGGTTGTAATAGCTAGAGGTAGTTTTGGTTTTATTTCTCCGGATTTCTCGCTCATTATCATCTCTTAAAGCCCGTAGCTTCTCTGCTTCTGATTTCAATATTGATTCAAAATTATCCTCCGGTTCTAATCTGTTTGACAAACCAATATGTTCTCCAACATAATTCGCTACTCCTTCTATACAATCAGATAATAGATTACCAGTGGCATTAGCTAGTACATTGCCCAGAAAAGGGTTCATTGCCATGATTAAATTCAAAACTCAAAGCCTGCGATTTGTGCAGAAAAAAAAAATGATTAAATGCAAGTTCAATAGTTGGAATTAATAGTCCACAGGAACTCTACAAATTAGAAAGTGTTGTACTGCTATCTAATGATTTAATCTAAATGAAGCCATACAATATCCAAAAATAAACATTTTTAGCGTAAACTCCAGTGTTAGTTCCTATCGGAAATGATTTGAGGACAATTTTAATATACAAATTTTGTTTCATACAACCATACTTATCATTAAATAGTTAACTTTTACACTTTACAAGACTATAATGTTATATGTCTCTATTGACTTAATGGCACAGAGATATATTAAAGTTGTATTAATAAACTGTCCATATATCATTTCCTTATGCAGTTCCCTGTCGGAGATTAAGAAATTTCCCTTTGATCTCTGATATCACCATTGGGAATAAAATTCCCTCTTATACTAATTGTTCGGATGTGACTCACCAAAGAATTATGCAAACGAATAGTAATAAAATAAAATAAAATAAATAAGAAGAAAACACCTATCTGATGTGAAAAGTTATTTATAGAAAAAATCACAGAGCAAGATGAGAGATCTATTAATCAAAAGAGAAAAGAGTTACAATATTAGTTATTAGAAGGCCACTCTCTATCTCTTCTAGATACTGTTAATCTTCTTAAGATGTCTCTCAAGATTCTTCTTACATCTCTCTATCTTTTCGCTTGCCACTCGTCACCCATGAGTGTGGGATCTCAACACTAAAGGTATGTCTTTACCACTCATTTTATGTTTACCAATAACACATATTTATACTAGATCCAAGTAGGACTTTCAGATTCCTACTAAAAGTATAAATTTAAGCCCCGAAAGTTCCTTCTTGGAAACTAAATCTCACTAAAACTTCACAAAACTTTTAATATTTTTTAAAATATTTTATTTAGGCACTCCTTAATTAGAATTTCAAAATTCACTTGAATATAGGTTAGGAAACAAAGTGAAGCTGCCAATTCTTTGCTAAGGTATTCACACTACGACGTCTCTAGAACAAGGCAGCAGTCATGCCTCCAATTGAGGGTCCACAACCTTGACCAAGGGTTTGGAACCTTTTTAGCTACCGTTTTATACCTTGCTCCTGCGGTGTCAGTATCTTAGTCAAAGTGTCAACACCTTGCTTATTCAAGGCAAACTTCAACTTTGATCATTCAAGGCACATTCCCTACATTTCTCATCCCATATTTTGATAATTTATGAGGAAATATCTTTTCAAATCATCACATATATAAATATAATACTTCGTTCCCATCCTATTATTATTATTATTATTGTTATTTGGTAGTTTGTTTCTGTTTTCTTTTTAGAGCTTTTTACTTCGTATATTTTATATTACAAATCTCAGCTACTTATTTGTTATTGAGACACTACACTAAAAGTTAAGAGAAATAATTAATGCCAGGATCAAAGCAAGAGACAAACAAACCTGTGAGATGGTGGAAGAGCTCTTCAGGCCTTTCAAATGGGGGTATGGTTGAATTCCTGCAGGGGCTCCGTTGTGGGCACCAGTGGTGTGTATCGAACAGCCATGGAAATCGGTGCTGCAGATTTAGAGATGAATATTGAAGGATGTAACTAGACACGGTTTGCAAGTGAAAGTCTTCTGGTCGGTTTCGATGAAGCTGCATATGGATCTTCCTTGCAACTTTGCGAGTGATGGTTCAGGTTGACTGAAGTTGCCTAGCTAGAGAAAGTCTTTTGGTCAGTTTCGAGGAAGCTGCATATGTATCTTTCTTACAAAAAATAATTTCTCAGCCGCCCAACTGGCAGTATATGCGTCAGAAAGAATGTCTTTGTACACACTATGAGAAAAAATAATAATAACAAGAAGCACGGACACAAACCAATAAAAACAAAGGGTAGAGTACTTATTTTCACCCTCTCTTTTTTTTTTGGGTGAATATTTTAAAGTAATTTTTATCAAAATTAATGTCTTTTATTTTTTTTAAATTCATAAAAAAAATTAATATTTTAACGATATATAAAGTGCTAATCATGGGAAAAGTTAATAATCATTAAAAAACACAATATATGACACTTAAACAGTAATATAGAAATGATTTGTTTAATTTATATTTTAAAGATATAAATTAAATATATATTAAATATATATTTTTATCATAAATTTATATTAAAAAATAAAATTCAATTTTTATTTTATTAATTATCTAATACTAAAATTAAAATTAATTTGTATATTTTTTTTACATATATTTATAATAAAAAATATAATAAATACACTATTATAACACACAAAATATAAAAAAATCATGTAACGCCAAAAATCCATTGTGAAGCGTTTTTATGAGATGATATTATTTTTACACACGTGAATGCCATGTGTGCAGTGGAAGCACTTGTTGGCGGGATATTTCCCCGCTTGTCCCTGCGTACCAAAAAAAAAAAAAAAAAAAAACAAAAACAAAAACAGGGAAATTTAAGAGCTGCAGCACTCCCTTCTCTTCTCATTTTTTAATATAAACCCTAATAGATGGTTTCTGGATTAATTTCAGTTGAAGGACATGGCGCTGAAGGCGTCGGGGGCGTACAGACACTGCACTCCGTGCGTGGCGCAGAGCCAATTCCGGAACCAAGGGGAATCAGACGCGGATTCTGACCTGTTCAGGTGGTCGTATCGTCGGACGGGGAGTTCAAGCTCCGGGACCCAGAGGATGTGGGGGAAAGAAATGGAGGCGAGGCTGAAGGGGATATCGAGCTCGAGCGGAGAGGCGACGTGGAAATCGA